CACTTTCTTTTTTCTTTTCTTTTTTTTTTTTAATTTAAATTTATTTTTTAAAACAATCTTTTCTCATTTTACATATCAATACCAGTACCCTCTCCGTCTCCACATCCCACTCCCTCATCCCCCCATCTACTCCTCAGAGAGGGTGAGGCCTCCCATGGGAAGTCAACAAAGTCTGTCACATCACTTGAGGCAGGACCACGGCCCTCCGCCCTGTATCTAGGTAGAATCAGGTATCTTTCCACGGTGAATGGGCTCCAAAGACCCAGTTCATGCACTAGGGATAAATACTGGTTCCACTGCCAGTGCCCCCACAGACTACCCAAGCCGCACAGCTATCAGCCACATTCAGAGAGCCTAGTTCAGTCCCATGCAGGTTCCTCAGCTGTCAGTCTGGAGTCAGTGAGCTCCCACTACCTCAGGCCAGCTGTTTCCGTGGGTATCCGCATCATGGTCTTATCCCTTTGCACTCCTCCCTCTCTACAACTGGACTCCAGAGTTCTACCCAGTGCATAGCTGTGGATCTCTGCATCTGCTTCCATCAGCTACTGGATGAAGGTTCTATGATGACAATTAAAGTAGTCATCAATCTGATTACAGGGGAAGGGCAGTTTAGGCACCCTCCACTCTTGCTTAGATTCTTAGCAGGGCTCATCCTTGTGGGTTCCTGGGAATTTCCCTAGTGTCAGGTTTCTTGCTAACCCCATAAGGGCTCCATCTATTAAGATATCTCTTTTCTTGCTCTCCCTCTCTTACCTTCCCCTAACTCAACCTTTCTGATCCTTCATCTTCTCCTCCCTTCTCTCCTTCTCCCTTTCCTACTCCCCTCCCCCCCAAATGTTCTCAATGAGCTCAGAACATCTTATCTACTTCCCCTTCTCAGGGGGATCCATGTATGTTTTCTGGCTTCTCTTAGGTTGTGGACTGTAGGCTGGTTATCCTTTGTTTTAGGTCTAATATCCACCTCTGAGTGAGTTCATACTGTGTTTGTCTTCCTGGGTCTGGGATACCTCACTCAGGTGTAGGTACACAGGTCGGTCCCCATTTTGCCCAAGGCGCTATGCAGGGCCGTTCTGCTTCCTGGTTCCACTGCACCAGCTTGAGGGTGTCGCATAGAGAGAACTCGCCCTCTCCTGTTATGATAATTTCACCTAAGGCCCAAGGGTTTAGCTTAGAGAGAACTCTCCCTCTTCTGTTATGGTAATTCCACCTGCAAGCAAGGTTCTCAGTGCGTGGCAAGGTTCCCAGGTCAGCTTCTCTCTGACCCTGAGCACGGTCACCTGGCTTCCTCTTTTCTCTGTTCAGCTGCTCTCCAACCTTGGGTGCGGGCCCCCTGATTTTTCTCTTTCCTTGTTCCTGATGGGGGGCTGGTGTCTTTCTGCCCCACAGTGTATATACCCGACTTATGCTTAATAAAGTTGCCATTTGCCACTTGCTCTTTGGTGAATGAGCCCGGTCTCTTGTGTGTGTGTCTGTTTTAACCCTTTAGGATATTAATCCGTTCTCGTGGGCTCGGTTCGGGAAAGCGCGTGCCTGTTTCGAGGTTCGGGTGTTCACAGAAAAGTGTGGAGGCAACACTCAGGATGGTCTTTTGTTGTTGTTCTAGTTCCTTCCATTTGCCTTCAAATTTCAAGATGTCTTTGCTTTTTAAACTGAGTAGTACTCCACTGTGTAAATGTATGACATTTTCTTTATCCATTTCTTGGTTGAGGGGTATCTGATTTGTTTTCAGGTTGTGACTATTACAAATAATGCTGTTATGGACATAGTTGAGCAAATGTCCTTGTGGTATAAGTGTACATTCTTTGGGTATATGCCCGAGAGTAGTATTGCTGGGTCTTTATTCCCACTTTTCTGAGAAACCACCGTACTTATTTCTTAATTGGTCACCAGTGGGAGAGGAGTGAGCCCATTGTGAGTGGTGCCAGATTGTCCCGGTTTCTGTAAGAAAGCAGGCTTATCAAACCATGAAGAGCAAGCCAGTAAGCAGCACCCCTCCATGACCTCTGCATCAGCTCCTGCCTCTAAGTTCCTGCCCTGTTTGAGCTCCTGTCCTTCCTTCCCTCCGTGAAGTATAAGTGGAAATAAACCCTTTCCTCCACAACTTGCTTTTGGTCATAGTGTTCTATCACAGCAGTAGAGAACCCAGTTAAGACAGTGACCCACATAGAAATGAGAAAGAAGCATTTCAAAGAAAATTCTACAAACTAAAGAGTGGGAAAGCTTGGATATAGACTTCTACACACTGTGCTAGACAGAGATGAGGTGAGCAGAGATAACAACTCCCTACACTACTCCAAGCCTGCTTTGAGCAAGTCCAGGGAGACAAATAAACAATCAGTTGAGTTAGTTGGGAGTCTCTTGGTGGGGCTGAGAGTCTCAGCAAGGCTGCATGACACAGTCACATAAGGAGTAAGTCTGGGTGTCCAGGGAGAAGCATCAGGCTTTGCGATGGTAGAGAAACTCCATAGACAAAATTCAAGGAAAGTAGAGGGTCACCCAAAGGTAAGTGTCAAGAGCTGTGGTAACACGCAGCAGGGTGGTATCTTTCAGAGCTACACATCCTACATCAGTTCCACATGCATAGATCTAGGGGAATAGAAGGCTGGAGCGTACATTTCTAGTGAATTCCTAGGAAACAAAGTGTTGCTGGTCCTGGGCTCTTTGAGCTGAGTTTCCTAGGAGTTAAGTTAGGGATCTGTACAAGAGAAGTCTCTTGCTTTTTCTCTGACTCTCCGTGTGTGTGTGTGTGTGTGTGTGTGAGTGTGCATGTTGGTCAAAAGAGCCTGGAAAGAATTATTTTGCACAGAGGGAAAAAGCTGAACAGGAATTTAGAAATAGATTCTCAGGGAAAGAAAGATGTTTGATCCAATTGCTGACACATAGGTCCTCGGGGCAGCAGAGTCCCCAGAAGGAATTGGGGTTACACTAACAATACTAAGTGGGCATAATGTTTGGATTCATAATTTTGTAGTAGTTAATGAACACGCGTTGAGGGTGGGGAGAATGGAGATGGTCTAGGTAAGAGGCTTTGTCTGTCTTTGTATAAAGACACAGTTTTCACACGAATATTGTTGGTGGGGAAGGAGATGAATGGAAAGATTCTGGGGACAGAGGCAGAGTGCAGAGGATTCGGTGACTGGTTTCAGGGAGAAGAGAGACTGGGCAGAGAAAGGAGGGGGATTTGGTTATTAGAGATGTCTTTCTTCTGGTGCTGACGCTGGATGTGGGAGATTGTGTGGGTCCTGACCTTGGGTCTCTGGAAGACTTCAAGAGATGTTCTCAGGAGGGAGGGAGATGCAAGCTTTGGAATATATTATGAGCGGAGAATAAAACTAGAAGGGGCGGTTATCAGCATGCAAGCAGCGCTAAAGGTAAAAGAACAGAAGGATGGTCATGGGAGCATTAGGAGGGGGACAGAAGAAAGGAGGGGTGTGGTTTCTTCTCCATGTGAGACTATCAACCTCCTGGTACTGAAGCAATCACAACTCATGTATCTCAGGCATCAGACAAGCGCAGTTGACTAAATAAGAGGGTTTCCGATGGAAATCTTGTCTGCATATAACATATGTGAAATGAAGTCCTGCTTCTTGTACATCACAATGTCAGGAGAATGTCTAGTCATGTGTGGTTCTCCAGTGGGGGCTCTACTTGGCCACCTGAGAATAGGAAGCCTCTGAGTAGGCGTCATCAGATCTGTCCTGAGTTGCTAGGATCACCCTTTACTCCTAAGGGGGAGAGTCGGGTGTTGTGAAATGGGGACAGTCTGCGTCTATCTAGGCACGGCCAGGTGTCTGGTACTTATTATGTGCAATTGTTGATTTAAGGTTCTACCTGCAGGGATGAGAATGAGAATTTATTAAATCCAGATTTAATATGAAGCCTTACATGCAAAAACTTTGGGGAGAGTTTTAGCATGTCAAAAACCAGACGTTTGCTGTAACTGATTCAGTTATAAATTAGTTGATGTTACATAAATGAATTCTAAAAAATCCCATCTTACCTGCTTCTCTCATATTTAGACTTGATATAGACTTTCCTTATGATTTTGTTCTTAGAGAAGGACACTGGGATCTTCCCTTACACTACTGTGCACACCAGGAGTCTTGCAGGCCAGGAACCTTCAAAATCCCTCCCACTCCTGGGAGCTCCCAGTACAGGCAGGTTGGTGTGCTCTGCTGCCCCTAAGTGGACAAGTCTGGGAAGACTTTAACCTTAAGAATATATTTTAGATTATTTTTTTCTTTGTAGTCTAGACACAATCCTTCACAAAGTGGGCTTAGCTAAATTTTTCAGCTACACTGCTAATCCCCTGCATCAACTACCCAGTACATATCTGTACTACAGTGTTACTGTGAGTCTTCAAAGAAGCAACAGGTAGGGTGAATTAAAAAAATCTTTAAAACCCTCTATCCCCCATCTCCTTCTTTCTTTTCTTTGTTTCTCTGTGTAGCCTTGGCTCTCCTGAAACTCACTCTGTAGACCAGGCTGGCCTCAAACGCAGAGATCTGCTTTGTTCTGCCTCCCTAGTGCTGGGATAAAAGCCATGTGCCGCCACCGCTCGGAAACTCTCCACTTCTCTAACAGTTTGTATTCTCCTACTGGACAGAGCTTGATGCTCCCCGAGCCTCTGGGAATTCCCAAGAGGTGAATGATAACCATGCATCTCTGACTCAAAGGTTTTCTGGGACCTAACACTTCCCAAGTCCTTACGTGGGATCCCAAGTGGCCCATGCTTTTTAGGCAGAGTTGGCTAAGGAGGTGTTTGGAGAAGGCTCGGCTGCAAGTGCTGGTCCTTGTCCAGGTATCCTACCTGGGGACCTAGCAAAAACCTAAACTTCGGCAGCAGCTCCTGTCTGCCCTTGGGTGCCATCATGGGAATCCAGGGGAAGAGGGGGGAGAGAGGCATGTCCTTACCATTGCTACAGCAGCAGCTCCCTGTCTGCCCTTGGGTGCCATCATGGGACTCCAGAGGAGGAGGAGGGAGGGTGGCATGTTCTTACCATTGTCGTTACCTTGCTTGATCTCCTCTGCCGTCCGATCGATCAGCACATACAGAGACCACACCACACAGGTCACGGCAATGATGTGGAATGTGACGGAGCAGCATATTTTCCTTCTCTCACTCGTGGTCATCTGGAGCTTTTCCCACTACAAGCAGAAATGAGTCACTCACCACCGCGTTTATAACCAGAATAGCTGGCTTTCAGTTTATGTTCCAGGCAGGGATGTGCAGTGCAAAGTCAACATCATGTTTTCAGTTTTGCCATGCTGCTGTATTTAGGTAAGTTTATGCATTTGGAGAGCTATGAAATCATCACTGACAAAGGAAAGAGAACTTAATTCGTAAGAAACAATGTTGGAGTTCCCTCTGTGTGCTGTGATTACCATTAATGAATAAAGAAACTGCTTTGGACCTATAGCAAGGTAGAACTTAGGTAGACAGGGAAAACTAAATGGAATGCTGGGAGGAAGAAGGCAGAGTCAGTGGGACACCATGGAGCCACCAGAGTCAGATGTGCTGAATCTTTGCAGGTAAGCCACTGCCACATGGCGATATACATATTAATAGAAATGGGTAAAATTAATATGAATTAGCCAATAAGAAACTAGAACTAATGGGCCAAGCAGTGTTTTAATACAATTTCTGTGTGATTATTTCAGTTCTGGGTGGCCGGGATGAATAAATAGCTCTTCCTCCTACATTTGGAATGCCAACATAGTGGACTAAATGCATGTAATACCATTTTTAGTTTTTTTTTTTAAACCATTTTCAGAGGATGTCCTACTCTCCAAATAGATGAAGCCGGTCTGTACCTCATTCTGCAACAGGAATGAGGTAGGTTCCCAATACTGTATGATATTGGCTGGTGTGGTGATGGATGGTTCAGCTGGTAACAGTTGGGCATGGTAGTGAGTGACTCTAATTCCAGCACGGGGAAGGCAGAGACAGAAGGACACTGGGGCCCACTGGCCAGGCAGACTGCTGGAACCGGTGAGGTCCGGTTCAGTGAGAACCGCTGTCACGAAACAAAGCAACTCAGTGGAGCGTGGTGGGTGAAAACACACGTGTGTGTTGCAGTCACATGTGCACACACACACACACACACACACACACACACGATAATAAAACATTATGCTTTTCAGAAAACATTTGCTTTCAGCTTCAGCCCATTGCGGTACCACATTAACAAGCAGTGACTGGCAGCTTTTGCTCCAGGGATCACCATGTAACTGGGCGAGTGTCCTGTGCTTGGTAGGACAATTGGACAAGGATTTAGCGGAGGCTTGAGAACTCAAGGGGAAGTTAACGCCCCATGTTTAAAGCTATCCTAGAGAGATAAGGGTTCACGTCGGAGAACTGGAAGGAGAACCTGCTGCAGGTCTCTCAAAGTGCCCTTGACTCTTTACTGCATGAAAGCTGCAAATTCTCCCACCATCACATGTCCCCTGAGTCCTACTCCTCAGAAAGCTGGTGACTGCCCCCTCAGTCAGCAAAAGAAGAAAGGTCACAAGCTTTAGACATGAAGTAGAAATGAAAGTTTGTTTATCATAGTTTAAAACAGGTGTTTTCAACTTTTAAAGTCCTGGCAGTGGTAGGGTCATCTTTGCATGCTAGGAATATTTATTTCTGTCTCTCGAGTTTCTAGATTTTATGAACCAGTATGCAAAGCTTTTTAATAAGCCTTGATTCTTTATGTCTTTGCTTAAGCAAAACATTTGGAATTCCTGAAGGCTTCTCTCCTTTTCTGCCCTAGCAACATGCGGGATTCAGTATAGTTCAATTAAAAGCAGGAAGGACATGTATCTAGGTCCAGGATCTGCCACTAGCTGGAGTTATTTACTTTGTCTGGACCCTGCTGGTCTCATGCTCGGGAGAAGAGTTTGTGGTAGCCAGAAGTGCAGGGATTGAGACTAGAGGCAAGGATTTACGTTTGGGGGGGGGGCAGGGATCCAGACTAGGGGTATGGATCCAGGCTAGTGGGAGAGATTCAGACTGAGTGGACAGGTGCCATTCCTCACTTGGCCCTGAGGTCTGTTGTGATCCCTGATAAATTCTGCACTTCCAACATTCTTGGTTAAGGGCAGACATCACTTCTGCCAGCATTTTCAGTGGCTAGCTAGCTGGGCATCAATACTTTGCCTCATGGATCCAGGGATTGCCCTTTTGATCTCTGTGTTAGTTCCTTCCCTCTTTGCTATCCAGGTATCAAGAGCATCATGACCAGAAAGAATATCCACAATCATCCTGCAACTTCAAGGAAGAAAAGGGATCTCAGGTCAAGTTAGCTGCAGCTAGTCTTGTAGTATCCTATTCCACCCAAGAAACAGACACTAGTGGGGATTGATCAATATGAAATTGTGAAATCTGAGCACTGGATTTCAGCAAAACTGCTATCTTTTCTGAGAGAGACTGATTATAAGATCTTGTTCCATCTTTGATATTTCTATAACGTTAATTGGAATAACATAGAAATCAAGGAATAGTACCATTTGCCAATAGCATCTTGTGATTTAATAACTATTTCTCAAACCACCCTGGTATCAAAAAAGATGTGAAGTTGCACAATAATCAATTATTTCTGTGTAGAGATCATCTGCATGCTAGAGCAGGATATTAACTTTAGTAAACACATACAGATACACACACACACACACAGTCCACCTTCAATCAGAAAATTGGCTTCAAAAAAATCATAACCATCAGGGCTTCTGAGACTGGAGAGGTGGCTCGGTGCTCACTGGACTTGCCAGGGACCTTGCCAACATCTTGATTACATCAAGTCCTTTACAACCACCTATGACTTCAGCTCAAGGTGATGTTGTGCTCTCTGGCTTCCCTGGTAGGAAGGCACAGAGATACCTGGAAATACAGATGAACAAATCTCTTTTCAAAAATCAGAACGTACATCTAAAAAGCTATTTTATGAAATGAAATACATTGTCTACCATCATGGAGCCTAAAAAAATGCCAGGAGTGGATAGGTTAGGAACAAATCATTGGCAAAGATCCCTGTGCCGGGCAATAGGAGCTCAGAGACTGTTGCGTATTAGTGAAATTAGAAGTAACATTTTAAGGAGAAAGTGTAGGAAGGTCATCAATTTTTTCCACAGTGTAGATGCAGGACCTCAGCGCCCTCTGTCATATGAAGACATTATTGCATGTAGGCCTCTCCACAGGGCCTCCCAGAAATCAAGTCATTGATTTCTGCTCAGATTTGTGTACAAACTTTTCAACAAAGAGGGAGTCACAACGGCAAATAGATGGAGAAGGTAAGGTTACAAGATTTGTTTTAACAAGTTATGAAAGTACTGTAGTTTAATATTTGCGATGATGAAATTGAGTCAGTAGCAAGCTTGGCTACTAAAGACTGGGTGAAACTAAACTGAAACACTGAGGAAATCCACATTGCCTTTGTCTCTCTCTCCCAGTGCCATAAAGCAATGTGTGACTTGTGCTCCCGTTCCCAGATTGCCTTGTGACACTTGGGACATCTCCTGCAGAGGCTCCTCCAGTTCTCAGACCTTTTCCTTCTATCAGCACCAGGTGATCTTGTAGACCCGCACATCACCCGCCCCACTGGTAAGTGTTTCAGACGGGGTGTCACCATGTAGCCCAGGCTAACCTTTGATTCACAATCCTCCTGCCTCAGTCTCTGGAGTGCTGATCTCACAAGAAGCTGACCTCATCACGCCTGGCTCCTTTCCCACATCTCTTTAATTCTACCGCTTCCTATCTTCCTGGCGTGAGTCAAGTTTTCCTCTGTACCCTGAAACCACATCAACTACGGTTGGCCAAACAAACTGCCTCCGTAGCTGGCGAGGACTTTGCTTTCGGGCTTCGTATCCCCTGGTCTTAGGTCCTTGTGTTTTCATCACCCTTGGTCTTTTCTCTCTCACTGAGATGACCAAACATCGAAGCATGGAGCAAAATTGTTTGATTCATTCCTTCCTCCTTCCTTCTCTCCCTCCCTTCATCCCTCCTTTCTCTCTTTCCTTTCTCCCTCTTTCCCTTCCTTTCTTTCCTAATTCTCCTATGTATGTCTCTCATTTCTAATGTAACCCAGAATTTCTAGAGACTCTATACTCTGATAGCTCGAATAATGCTCCTTGGTGGCACTGGTCCCCATGGGTCCTTATCAGTATTGTGTTTTTATACAGTCAGGGCTAGGAATTTCCAGCCATCTGTTTTGACTATTGCCATAATTTCATTTGCATAAATTCAAAGCTGCATTTTAACGGTTTGGAATTTTCCAAGTCTTCTTGTATTATCACTGTGGAGTTTGTCATATACATCAGGTCTGAAATGCATTGCATTCTGTAGACACTGTAACACAATCCACAATGTAAATGAGAGTTTAGACTGTGTGGGTTCTTAAATTAAATGCTGGTGCCAGGTTTGGCTGCAAGGCCCTCGACCCACTGAAGCGTCCCGAAGGTCTGTGATCCTGGTGTTAGCGAGACCTCTGGTTACTGTGACACAGATGAAATCCTGAGATCCAATGAGGGTCTTTTGTAGAGTGACCTTGGCGGAGTGCAGAGATAGTGCTTGTCACTCCCAGCACAGAGTAGGGAAGGGGACAGAATCAGCAGGGCTTGACTGTCTATAAAGCAAATATATCATACTGAGTAAAAGGAAATCATATAACCAGTGAATTTGTTCAGAATAAAGTGGTTGGCAGTCAGTTCATTGCTCACTAAAACAAGCAGTTCCATTGCAATTTTAGTTTTACTTTCTAAATGAATGTTGAAGTGACAGGCAAACCTATTAAAATAGAATCATGTTATGGTTTCAAGTACTTTTTGGGAGGGAACCAAATCACAGAGTCTGAACATTTGTGAGGAATAACTTTTGAGATAAAAAGTCACAGCTACACCTGTAGCCAATCATTTACAAACACCAGAAGGAAAGTTTACCTCTTCAGATCTTTAGTGGAATTCCTAAACGTTTGGTGGATGCTGGGAAACAGGAAAGCCACCCTGAGACATAGTAGCTGGTTGAGGTTACTGAGTGACAGAGGCAGTTCCTGTCAAAGACAAGACAGAAGGTGTCCCTGATGTGAGCCTGTCCTTACAGAATGACACCCAACTGTCCATGTGGATGCCCAGGCTTTGTTACTGATAACTAAACCCTTACATGTTTTTTAATG